CTATGTATTTCCCTCACCAATTTTTTTGAAATTTTGACAGCAACACTCACCCTATATCATTTATGTTGGTGGGACTCCAAGTTAGGTCGAGTCAGCGCCACGTGTATTCGTTGAGAAAACTATCCCCACGTCAATGGCAATTGCTTTAGCTAGCTGGGCATGCACTGTGCGGCATTTACCGGGGCTCAATGCTAGAACGAATGCTTGGCAATTTTTGTCCTCAGTGGTGGACAAGTGCCTGCACACTGGAAGTTTCCAGGTCACTGTTTGGCCAGAGATTGGTGGTGACTCAGATTCAGAAACAAAAGGTAACCTATTATGTTTTCTTTTTTCAGGGACCACGAGACGACTTTGGGTTGCCCACTGAACTGTAACTAGAGTAATTGTTGCAGCCACCACCAAAGCATCCCATCAACTACACACACAGTGACACATCCATGTTCAGGAGTGGTACAGCAGTTGTCCTTCAACCTGCGTCCTGGCGAGCCTTTTCCGCTGCAATGGATGTCTGCCGACAGCGATGTTCTCAATGTTTGGAATCTGGAGCGGGACGCCGTTCAGCTGAGTTAATTATGAATTGTAATTTGTGTGGAATATGAGTTTTGAAGCAATTATTCAATGCAACAAAGTCCTAGATGATTGCTTGAGTGAGTCAATCAGTCAGTCAGTCAATACTTAGGCCTAGTAATAGGCAATGCAATGACGACTGACTTAGGATGATGACAGGCCATGGGTGACAACTCTTCCTGAACGTGCTTCACTGGATGCCGTTCTAGCCTTTGGACTAGATCCGCAACTTGTCCAAACAATTAGTTAATTCAATCAGTTAATTTATGGGTGAGCTACTAAAAGTCACTGCACCCAAAAATGCAGTTGAGGGTCTTACTCTAGTCCACCTTGTGAGTCCTGAGTAGTTAAATGGAATTGACATTGTTGCATGAATCAATCAAGGCAACATCGTGATCCTCGTCGTGGACATTCTCCCTGGAAGCCACTCAAGGATAGAGTGCTGGCTGTGCTGTCACAAATTGCAGCATTCCTGGAGACTTTGGCATTTATTTTTAATTATTAATAGTCGAGTCGAGTCGACGAGTCGACGGATGTATTGAATAAACATATAGCAACACAATGAGCCATAACTTTGGCTCAGTGTCCAGAAGCATGAGTTTCTTTCTCTGTCACTATGAGCCTTTTGATTGAGGGATAATGCTATAATATAACAACTAAACCCAGGATTCACACATTGAGGAGCTCTCCATGGAAACACATCGTCTTCGCAAGAAGAGGCGAACCATCATTACTTTGAGGGGCAAATACGAGGTTCTGAATGACGTCCGCAAGGGGAGGCCAGAACCAGCTTGATTCTGCTAAGGTTGGTTCCTAGCTAACTGTAGTGACTGAATTCTCAAGTTGTCAAAACAATGTTCCTTCAGTCAGGTTTGGAGTCTGAATCCATGACAATTTGATTTTTGCTTTATTCTTCATCAGTCACCACAGAATCAGAATGACATGACGTTCATTGCTGCAACATGAGTCAATGAATCATGACCCATGGCTTCGGAAGGTTCTTCACCATCACCAAGAGCTTGCTGGACAAGAAGTTGAAGCTTTCCATATATGTGCTGGCAAACTGGTACATGGCTACTTACCATTCATTAGTTCAGTAAAAACCAGTTGTTGAGGAGTCTCAGCCCATGACTACCTGTTGCATTGCCCCGCCGACACCAATGGACCAAGGTCGTGTACATGGACAAGGCCAAGAAGATCTTTGGGCCTTCCCCTCACCTTCAGGCATCTCAGCTCATTATGGCATACAGCATACCTAAGTTCCAATGATGATGTCTGGAGTCTTGACACTTGAGGCTGTCAAATCTGTGAATGCATGTGTTTGTTTTTATCTCACGTGATCAAACAAGTGACCATTCTGATTCTGCCCAGGTATCCTTTGATGGGAGCTCCATTCAGAAGGTGCCAGTGGAGTTGTACAAGGTTCACAGCAACTGGGTTGAATCAATTCAGAGACAGACTATTGAATAACATAGTTAGAAGCAGCACAGGCACAGTTGTGACAGTGTGACCTCCAATAATACCTGCCAATAAATCTAAAATAAATCAACACATATCAATAGTAGAGGAGATGGTTCAATTAGTCAATTAATGTGTCCACGCTCAGGTCCTTCTCTCAACTTGGGAGCGTTTGGGCCACCACTGGCAACTTGACCTGGAAAGTGACCAGGGACCGGGGAAGAGTTGGTTGGAGCAACGTGGATCGTTATCATTCCCTATGAATGATGATGCATGAACATGTGCAGGCTCTCAAACCCAGTCAGTGGCCAGGTCACGGACTGTGTCACAACTGACAGAAGGATCATTAAATACATGAGAAAACAAAAAACACGCGTCAATTTAATAATTATATTGAATGAAATAGATTAGCCAATTTTTTGAACATGTAACTACTATACAATCTTATTGACTACCTACTTAGATTCAGAGACACTCTTACAGCTGACAATGGTTGCTGTCAGTGCTGAGTGCTGCCATGTCAACTTCAATGTTGGAGTTGAAGCTGGACCCAATGAGCACTGATTTTGATCCTGTTCAAGTTCCTGATGACATGGAAACTGGCGATGAGGGCAGGCTTCCAGATGACACTCCAGTCACAGAGAGTGATGAGGAGCTTCCACCTACTCAGAGTTCGTTTTTTCAGGAGGAGAGACTGGCACTGGAGCTGTTTCAATGAGATTCCTTCACTATAATGTAATACAATAGATGAAAAAATGGAGCCGTCATTAATAATAGTAATCATAGAAATTGTAGCCATCATAGAGTCAAACAATGTCAACCATGTCAGTGGGATCCCATTAGGACCATGACTGGAACCCACTTTGTCGTGCAGCACGTGGCGTAGAGACAGCGTGGGAGATCACATGCAAAGCGATTCCACGACAATCCCTGACAGACATTTGGAACACATAGCCTGTTTGTTTTCTATGTGTGGATTACTATGTGTTTTTTCATGTGAATTTCTGAAATTCTGAAAGCGTCAGTGACCAAGGAGTCATGGCTTGCGAATGCAAATGCCGCCAGCAGCTTTTGCTCAGGCTGTGGAACTGCTGAAATGAGCCGTGCAATCCTTGAACGGGACATCAACAACAGTGGCAGGGTTCCTTTTCATGTCTCCATACCTACAGTCTGTTTGTGGGAGGCCTTGACTGTATTTATTTGGGAACATTTTACCGTGTTACCTTTTTATTTTATGTTGTTCTTTTTTTATTGATGATGTCATGTAATTTTAAATTAAACATTCCCTGCACTATACTAAGGAACGTGATCCGAAGTGCATTGCCCTACTCAAGGAGGCCTTTTCTTGGTGTGAGTCTGTGGCAGGGCACAGTGCAGGAGACCCATGTTTGTTCAAGGATATTCTTGACCTCATTCCGCATCAAACATCCGATCCAACATGGACCTACAGCCAGAAGTTGAATGCAATATTCAATGGTGGCCTTGCAACTGCTGGGGTTTGCGAAAACCACCGAAGTTGGGTGGATGGTGAATGCTTACCTGGTGTTTGCAGTGTTCAGAAACACAACATTGCATTCGATGTATCAGGGCTGCCATGCCCTGACATGTCATGTGCTGGGAAAAAACTGTACCGGGCCGGTCCCACGTCTGCTGTATACATCACCCATGGAAAGTGGGCAACGGTTCAGCGCATCCCGTTATTGCTGATTGAGTGCACCAAGGACTGCATTGATAAACTATTCATTCTTGGTGGTTTTGATTCTGGCAGGGTTATATAAAAATAATTAAGGATTTTTGAATCCATTCATTTGGAGACACAATAGTGTGTATTGGGATTGACTATTTTCATGCCAGACACTCTGTCAGGATCTTGACATGGGCATGGTCTGTGAAACACACCCGGATCACACCTTCTTCCAGCTGTTCAGTGAACGGGTTCACTGGTACAGCACGATACAGGACGTGGTGCATTGGGATGCACAATGAACGGAGTCGGTGCCTGTATGACCCATTTGATCTCCATGAAATCATAGCACAAGGATTTGCTGAGCGCAACATCACCACCAAGATCTCTGACTATCTTGTGGCAAGTGCAGCTGAGATCTTGATGGAGGCATCAGAGCTGGCCAAAACACGCAATATCAGCAATTTTATTCCTGGGCAGAGTGACATGTCGATGCTCTTGACAAAGCGTGAGAAGAATGCAGCGTTGACTTGGGATCATGAATACTTTATCAGATTTCATCACTTAGCAAGGACTGATGCCAACCTCGTCTATTTTTTAGGAGACTCACCATCCTATGGCAATGTTTGGAGTGCATGTTCAGGTCGGATCCCGACCTTTCGACTCAATGCCAGGTCAGGGTTGTTCTGGCTACCAGCACAGTCACGCTGGCTAACAGGAAAGGAACGGCTTACAGCCATGGCATTTCCTTGTACCAAGGAGGTTGCAGATAGCATGTGTGCTCCACTCATGGGTGCAACGGATACAAAGCGAGCTGCAGATGTAGCTGGCAACAGCATGCATTTTACTAGTGCAGGCATCTTGCAGCTCATCGCCTTGAGCTGCTTCGGTCCTGAGTGAGTGTCTGACTGACATTAATTAATCATTGAAATACATACATTGATGTTTTTTTCAGATTTACCACCAGACCAGGGCCGTGAAGACTTCATTGATGCCAGCTGAAGTTGCTGTGTTTCACTGACTAAATGAACAGGTTGAAAGTGAAAACTTTGCATTTGAGTGTTGAGTGGATTGAATGATTAGGCTTTGTTTGGACTGCATTGTCACACAAATTGAAACATTGATTGAGTTCAGGAAGTTAAATACATAGGAGCATTGACGGGACTCACTCTGGCCGGGACAGGGATGGATTGCATGTTTGTATATATTGAAATTCTGACACCGCTTCACTGTCTAGGCAGTGACTGATCAAGGTTGGGTTTAGGTGTGGTGGCTGTAGCTGCAGGGCAACATGGCTGCTAGCATCACTACGGTTTGGGACAATGGAGATAGCACTGAAGTAGCTCGTGTCGATGATCAAGGAAGCGACCGGCCTGCTTCCAGTGCCAGAGCATCAGCGAAAAGCCGGGCAGCACCAAAGACAAAAGGTCAGGCCAAGCGTGCAGCAAGAGGCCAAGCTGCCGTGCTTAGCACCTCCTTTACTTCATGGAAAGTTACCCCTGAGGCTTAGTTGAGTCTCAGTACACATTTTATTGACATAATTTTGAACTGTATTGAAAAACACTGTGATGGTGTTCATTCAGTATTAGTTGATATGTGATTCTGATCTGGACCAGGACAATCACCTACGGGATTGCATGGAACATTCCGAGAAGGACCTGGCATCAAAGGACAAAACCTCAGAGCTGTCAAGCAAGTCCTTGCGGCTGGCTTTTTACGGTATGTTTCGCAAAGCTCCCAATGGCAGTTTGGATACGTTCCTCAATTTTGATATTCAATGATTTGTATGTCATTGCTTTTGTTATTATTGAAGTACCCCACTGTGTCACAGTTTAAGTGTAGTTCAATTGTTTCTGTGACCACTGCACTGCACTGCAACAAGGTTCGTGAAGGCAGATTTGATGGAAGGTTTGAAGAATGACTATGATGCCTTGAATCAACCATTGCAGAAGGCAGGGAGCCTGGATGCACTCATCAAGCAAGTGGAGATTGAATTGAGCAAGAATTCCACATTTCAAGTGATGGACATGAGTCATTTGGGATTCAATTCAAGTTGCATGTTTTGTAAGTTTTTGTTGTCATTGATGTTTTATTCAAGATCAAACATTAGTGGATTGGCATAATGATAATGATTAATGAGGGAACACCTCAACACTCAGGTGATGGTGTGCAAATGTTGGAGTGCAATGGAACCGTGAAACCTTTGCCAAAAGGTAGCAAATGGACGCTGAAAATTGCAAACAGATCAGGCATTCCGTTTGTTGTCAATGACCAGGATCAGAAGCATTGGTGCATGTCATTTTTTCAGACAGTTGCCACTACTGGCAAGAAGAGCAGCAATGTGGTGGCTGCACCTGATTTGAACCTTGACAATGCCAAAGAGAAGTCGCTGACATCGGGGCCAGGACCAACTTTGATGCCAGGCCAAGCATCTCAAGGACCAGCAGCAGCTGGTTGCCTGGCCTAATTATGTATAAGCCTTTATGTTTTTTTCTATGTGGGGAAACTTTTCATAATGACTGCCCACTCAGACACTGAATCATTGAATCAAACAATTATAGATTGTTTGCTTTACACTCAGACTCAGACTGTCTCACAGACACATGTCCCAACCAAGGCGCTGCTATGAGGGCTAGTGATTCATTCACTCCATTGCGCTACTGCGGATTGGATCGTGCAGAGTGTTCAGATTGCAACCGAGGGTATCGTCAGGAGATTCGTGCTGGTAGGTTGCCAAAACTACAGCATCCTGCACCCAAAGGTAACTTGGAGTGAGTGAAATCATGTGATTCAAAAAAGTTTGTAGTTTCTTGATGACGCAATTTATGTAATCATAAGTCTTTGAAACCCCAGAACTTTTGTGGCCTCTAAGGCACAAACACTGACAACAGCTTGGTTCATGTTCCTCCTGGTGGCGCCATTCAGCAGAAGCGTTCAGCATCACCTTCTAGCCCTACACCTTTTCCAAAGAAGAAGCGTGTGGCAGTTTGCAAATGCAAGCTTCGTCGTGAGAAGTGCGATGTGTGCAACAGTGGCTTCATTGAGGTTGTCATGAAAGGGGACCAACCTGAGTTCATGGAGGTCATGTTGACTGAGAAACGAGTTCCGGTGTGCAGTTGCATGGAGGAGCGGACACATTGCGATGCTTGCAAGAACGGGTTCATTCAGGCAGTGGAAAAAGGAGATAACCCAACTTTCAAGACGGTCATTGTAGAAGAACCGATTCAACCTGATCCCCCAGCCACTCCAGCACTTGGTGAGCCAGCCGTGGAGAAGAAGACTGCGTCAGCAGCAGATGGCAGTGACCTGTCAGGAGCATGTGTCAGTCTGGTTGATTCTGTATATATTGAAAGTGTGTTTTGTTAAACTAAATTAAATTTAAATGAAATAATTACGGTTTATGCAATTGTGACCACCAATGATACTGTATTTTTTGAGTAATTGACCATTCCATCCTGCCAGGACCTGAAGCCAAGCCTAAAGATGATCCTACTCATGGCACTGGTGGCAAGGCTGAGCCAAAACCGAGTGAACCTGAACAACAGAAAGGTGCATTGATCAAATTAATTACAGTTGTATATGTTTTTTTGGCTTTAGTAAATTATTAATTAAACTAAATTCATTAGGTCTTAGTGTGTTTTATTGTGTTTTTGTTTTTAAACATCGTGCATGTCTATCAACACTCAGGTGATAAGTCCGGAATTGAAACAAGTCCGGAGACAAGCAGCTTGAATATGGACTCTGCAATTGTTTTATATTGTCGTCTTTAATATATAATATAATGGTTTAGCTTTTCCACGGTGTCACACATTCATCCAAGGTACAGGTGCACCATCAGATCCCGCCAGCAATGCACATGATGCAGCCACTGTTGAGCCTAAGGCGAAAGCAAAGAGCCAAGCTGCTCCGAAGCTGAATTTTGCTACCAAAACTAGGAAATGAATCCTAGGATTGCTCCTGCATCCAAGCATGTGTAGTCTCGTGTAAGCTCTATTTGCTCCAGTCTGTGGCCCGTTTCTGAAATTGACTGGACTGTCATTACTATGTGTAGAACTATGAATTCAGCAGTGGGTTTAATGAAGGGATGATCGATTGTGTCATATGGTCAAGAGGTGGTAAAGAGCAGCTCAAGAGTGGGTCAAGAGTGGCTAAGAGTGAGGGGGTCCCATGCCAGATTTGCTGTAAATAGCGATGAAAACCTAAGGTCCCCTCAGTAGCTACTCTTAGCTACTCTTAACCACTCTTGACCACTCTTGACGACTCTTAATGTAATGAAAAACATTGCAATTCAACACTTCATGGGTACACTATTTGACTAAAATAATCAACCAACAATAAGTAACTATCTGATTGATCAGTCTTGCAACTGAGCAAATGTAAGCAACACTTCTGCACATGAAAATGACAACATGTTACATTGTAATGCCCAGTCAAGACATGTGATGGAGCATCGTCGTTGACATTGCCTGGAATCCGCAAAACCATCACCAGTTAAAATAATGTTGGATATCACAATGCTCACTCAGAATTCATAACTCCAATCCAAACCTAGACTCTTGGAGGCAGGCATTGTCAATAATTCATTGGCTGACACTGCTGGATACAACCAGGAGCTGGATCACAGGGCTGATTGAATGAATCTCCAACTTGCTGGCCAGCAGAAGTTGTATTATCAGATTTTTATAATTTTGACTGAGTAGAACTAACTAATGGTTTTACATGTAACATTTTAAACGTGACAGTCACTGACATCAATTTATTGTTTTTGTATTTGAAAGGGTCCCGGAATTCAGGCCTAAAAGTTGAAAATCAGTCCCGGACACTGTCCATCATCAGACCATGCCAAGACTCTGTCTGATCTTGGTGACAGATCGAGCTTGCCAGAAAAAAGGTTGAGACTGGAGCAGCCTCAATCAGAGCAAAGTCACAATGTCATGAGCAGTAAGTAGGGAACAATGACAATTCAAATTCCATTTGATGATGTGAGATTGCACTACTCCTCCTTCTGAAATCCAATGACTGTTTTGTAGCAGTGGTTTCTGAGAGGATTCGTAATCAACATTTGAATCAACTGAGCCATTTCCAAGAGTGAGGCCCAGATCAATTTAGACCTTGTGTACATCCACACATCATCCGTGATGGAAGGACAACCAGCTCCATCAAATCCCAGTTGGAGGTATTGTCCAGAGGCAGCCCGATCACCTTCAACGGTGGCAAAACGAATGAAATGGCCACCAACCCCGCTGGATCGCAATGTGCCTTTGAAGCCAGGCGTGGTGTACAAGAGTGATGCACTGGACCCCATTTGGGGGAATCCAGTATGGTTTGCTCCAAGTGACGCTGGCCACCGCAATCAGCGCTGGAACCAATATCCTCCAATTGCCCTCCACAACCAAGCGCCTGGGGGTGGCGGTGGTGGTGGAGGTGATGGCAATGGTGGTGGTGAAGGTGATGGTTTTGGTGGTGGTGAAGCCCTTGCTGTACCCCGAGGCATTGGGGTTGCTCGCGCATTGATGGGGCCTGTTCTTGATGCTATGGCTATGGCTGCAGCTCCTGGTCCCAACATGACTCCACCAACAACTCCCAAAAGGAAACGGTCTCCATCATCGATTGTGCCCAGACTACTAGATAGTCAGTGTGTATGTTCATAATGTTGTATCTTTTTCATAGTTATTAATACTGTTGCTGTTGTCTAAGCCTACCTTTTTAGAATGGACTAAATTTTAAATAAATGATTCATCATCATAATGACTGAGTCACAGGTCATGATTTCACCAAGCTCAACATCGAAGTCATCGTTGGGTTCCCTTGGAAACAGCCAGCACAAGAATCGCGGTGGTGGTGGTGGCTGCATGGGTGATGAGTCTATGATGGATGGCAATTTCAATGTTTCTCAAGACATTCCAGGGTCACCAGATCCAGCACTGCTAGAGAAGAAGATTGCGGAGCTGAACTACCCTGACTTGAAGCCACTAGTGTGGACCAAGGATCCAAAACCTTTGGTGGTCGCAGTCGTTACTCCGATGAAAAGGTCTTTGGGGCCAGGCTCTCCTCCAATTGTCAAGCCCCCTCTACTGAAGCGCACTCGGTTGAACAAGATGGTGGCAGGTGGTTGAGTGAGAAGCAAGGATTGTTTTGTAGCCTTTGCCCTGACTGCTTCGTAGAATGCATGTTATTTAAACACTCAGATTGTCAGCAATCAAGCAAACATCTCATCATCATGAGGCTTTCTTTAAAATGGCTGTACAAGGGGCAGCAGTCAGTGGACGCTACTAATACTGGGCAGTTGAACCGATGGGCAATGGGCTCATCATTTTGGTTCATTGAAGAGTGCTGGGCCGTACAGCCACGAGGCTCTACATCTTCAGTCTTGATAAAGTTTAAAGATTTAGCTTGCAGCGATGTTACAGTGTCAAGTTCAGGAAGCCAGGGGGCAGCTGGACTAACCAGACTGAGATTGGATGAAAAAAAACACACACATTTGGTGTTTTCTGTCTGAGTCATGTCACCTTTCATTGGAGTGAGTTGAGTCAACAATTCTTCGATTCGATTCTGTCGATCCGTCAGTATGACGACATGCACTGCATTTGATTATTATTATTGACTCGACGAGTGACGACATGTTGGTATAATATAATCATTGAACCATGTCATCATTACTATATTTATATGGTTGAATTTAATAGACGTGACATACATTGAACCTTCCCAACCTGAGTGTTATTTTATTTACAGTTCAGTGGAATTCTGATCAGCCTGAGGCATTGCCTGCAAATGCCGTCATGATGAATGCGCTCTACCAGTCGAACCTTGACTTTAAATCGGTTAGAAGGATCTCAAACAGAAATTAGTTTAATGGAGTATTATTTTGGCTAAATCCATCTGTTTGATTTAAACACACCCTATCATTTCGCAATTGTGGATCTTGATGCAGGCATTCGAATCGATTCTAGGGCTGCCAAGTGTCCGCAAGTGTCCCTGGAGATTTGTTTCAATGGCCATCCAAGGAACCTTGGATTGGGGCATGAGCTTGACCCTCCACGCACTCTTTCAGTACAGCTGAAGAAAACAATACAGGGAATGATTGCAGCATGCCTGCATTATTTCATTTATATACTGACCTACTAATTAAATTTAAATTTAATCTACTATAATTAATATATATATACAACAGACAGTTGTGATAATTAGTAGTAATTCTCCATTCATTTTCCCTGTCACTGTCATGCCTTTAATCAAAGCCCAAGCTGCACATCCAATGAAGCCAACCACAAAGCTGAGGTGAAAACCAAATCTTGGTTCGGGAGCATCGATTGCATGGCTGATTTGTGTGATAACTGGTCACTCATCTCGTTCCTGCTTGATCATGCTCTCGACCGCAGTGGAGAATCTTGAATTGAATGAATTAAATTATCTCAATCGTTTGACAAAAGTATAGATTGAGAGGATTGACTGGTCAATATTAATATTAGTCAATAATGTATTTTTTTGGCTGACTTTGATACTGTAACACTTTATCCCTAGTTGGATGCAATGCATCATTGTGGTTCCAGCAAAGACTCAGGCTGATGGCCCATGGTGGAGAAACTCTGAGGATGGTCCCAACCAAGATGACCCCAACACTGGCCCTGCAGATGATGATGACGAGGAGCAATCAGGTGCAAGCAATGCCTCCAATGATAGCGATGAAGAGCATGATCAGGATGTGCATGATGCATCCATGCGTCCTCAGAACAAGAAGGAGTTAGCATCCCTGAGAACCCGGTTCCAAAACACAATGCACTTGGTCGCTCACCTTTACCATGACTTGACACTTCGCGATGATATGAGGATGGTGTACTATGCTGCTTTTCATTTCAAAAAGGAGTACTCCTATATGCTTCAACAACAGAAGTCTCAGGACTGACTGACTGACTGACGTGACTGTGACTGAATGACTGTGTAATTGCTGTTCATAGCATACATTGTGACATAATGTTGTGACAAATGACATGCAGTCAGTCACTGGCCCAACAGCAAATCAGTCACTTCTAACTAATGACTGTATGACATGCTGCTATTTAATATTTTGTGGAGCCCTTAGGAATCATGCCGTGCATGGCAAGCTATGCGTTCAACCAGGGCATGGCTGCAAACCATCTTGAAGGCTTTTGGAATGATGCATGATGCAGCTGTCCTTCAATCCTTTGGGATAACGACCGATTGCAGTGGCCCTCCAATTTGTGTTGAAGATTTGGACGAGTCTGGACAATCATGGGTCATGGCTGAGAAGAAGCTCCTCCATGACTTCTGGGTCCTCATTGTTGAGATCAGTGCAGCCAGGTGCTGGAGCCAGTCACTGTTCTCAGACTGCCCGCCAAACTGTTTCCCAGCAGTTTTGCATGGAAGCCCGCAAGTTGCCCAAAGTCATGTGGACTACCAGAAGAGGTTGTGGCGTGCAATCATTGCAGCTGAGTCGCACGTTCGTGATTCCAAGGTTGCCAAGCGATCCAGGCAGTCAGTGCAGGAGATTCTCAATGACCTCGCCTGGAGCAACTTGCAGTTGGCACGAGAACTGTGCTTGATTTGCAGCATTGGTGGTTGGAATGCAAATCATGAGATCATTCAGGAGGTGGCTCTAGCCATGACAGGGTGCCCACAAAACACCAAGTATGACTTGGAGGATGGGTTTGCTCATTTATCGAGTTTGAGCAAGCTTTCTAACCTGAGCACTGCCATGAACAAGTCACTGGAGCTTAGCTCAACAGACTTTGAACTTGATGTGACCCCTAGTCTAGTCCTACAGTTTTGGATTTTTCCTTTTTTTTGACCAGAGTGACTCGAACCTCTGTCAGTCACTCTTCAATCATTGAATTCAATCATCCCCTCACTTAACTTGACTCACCATCTCCCGGGTCCCGGACTTCAAATTTCAGTTCAAATCAAGGTGGACTCGATGGTTTTACACTACGACCTTGCCATCGCTTTTACAATTGCACTGGCCACAGTTGATGTGCACCTTTGAAGATGTTGTCGGTTACTACAAGACCGCTGTGAGGGCTGATGTGTCAAAAGCTGGAAAAACATTTGAGAGTGTCAGGGATCCTTTACCTGAGGAGATTCGCAAGTCACTCTTGAAGTTGCGGAGCAAACCCACCAAGAAAGCTGGGACCCAAAGCAACCAAAGGTCATGTGCTGCCACTGCCTGGATTTTGCAGAACCACGAGCGCAAGTTCAGCTCTGCTCACATGGCATGGACAGGCAAGGAAACATGGTATGTTCGTTCACAAGTCCTGCATTGCTGACAAACCAGGTGTAAAGGCATGTAAAGGCTGTAGCTTATTGAATGCAATGTTTCTTTTGGTGAGGTGTCTTCTTTATGAAAGGGCATTGCTATGAATCTTCAAGCAGGTCACTGACCATATTGAGCTTTGGTTTCCGCTCTTATGCATGTTTGGGCATCAAACTGGTGAAGAGGATCTGCGATGATGGGAAGGAACCTTGGTGTTGTTGTTTCAAAACAATGTTGTTTGAAGGTCCTCACTGGCAGGTGGGTCTAAATCTTGACAATCAAGGTCTATATTTAATTCAGCTCACCCATGCCATTTGTAATTTTAATGACGAGAGTCATGTTTTGCCCAAATATCCGAAGCAAACAGTTTAAGGCCTACTTCTGGGTGGATCCTGAGCAAAGTGAACCAATGTGGACTTTCAATACAGGCTTGGACTCTGACTGGGTGCATATTCCTTTTGAACCATTGCACCCGTGGGAGGTTCCCATTGCCTTGCAAGACTTCATCGTTGTTCTGCGTCAATGCGGAGACGAAGAACCACTTGTTGTTGCTGGCTTGAAATCAGGTGTTGCTTTGAATATGACGCATTTGCGCCTGCTTCATGCTCACTACAAGTTTGCCTTGCCTAGCAAGGGGAAAGGCAGTGGCAAAAATGGCAACGTTATCAAGATCGACTTTGTGAAGGCCCTACTGGAGTGTTTATTCCCTGACATGACGGAGGAGCAGAAGCAGGACCTGATAGATGGAATGATGGGCAAAAAAATGCGACATGTCCAGAGAGAAGCTGGCAAGCACAGCAAATCAATCGTAGCTGCCTTCAATGGTTTGGAGCAGCAAGATTTGAAGGAGTTTGCAAAGCTGACTGAGGTTGCATTGGATGAGTTGCAACTTGAGAATGCTCGGGATCGACAAAACAGGTCTTCTCCAGTGGCAACAGCTTCACAGCAGCATGAGACCCCGGCAGTCCTTGCTACACTGTGTCCACCAGTGAAGGGCACACTGATCTCAAGGCATCCCAAATTGATGCGGTATCAGGCATTTTATTTGTCAATGCCAACCAAGGAACGAAACAGTCACTTGACTTAGCTATTCAAAGCCTAAAGCAACTTTTCATACTTTTTGACTCCAGTTTGGCAGGGGGGGTTAAATAAATCATTTGCTAATGGTGACCTGGTGATCTGTGATTATTTTTTCTTAGTCACTAGTAACAATGTAACAAGTCAGTCACTGACAGGCCGACGCTACTCACATGCTACCTATTGGAATGGAAAACGAAAGCGCATGTCAGAGCTAGACGCACTGGTGGAAGTGGTTGACTGGCTTTGGGATGTGTATGAGAAGCTTGATGCAGATCCTGCTGAGAAGATTTTTCGGTAACTTGAAATAACTGGTGTATATGTTTTCGTCTTGTCATTTTTTTGCCCTAAATTGAACAGACTGACTGTGTTTGACTCAGACTAGTACAATGATTTTGAAGTTCTCAAACAGCTGAGGCCAAGTGAGGAATGCATCAAAAAGATTGTGGATTGCTTTGATGCCACGACTGGATTTTTGAAGGAGCCAAAGGTTGCAGCTGCAGCAAGTGCATCAAAGATGCCATCAGTGGCTGCACCAAAGGCAGCAGCAGCAAGTGCATCAAAGATGCCATCAGTGGCTGCACCTTCAAAGGTTGGAGCAGCAGCAGCAAGCGCACCATCAAATTCAAAGGTTGCAGCATCAAGCGCAGCAACAATGCATGAGGGAGAGATTCCCAGCAAAGCAACGAAGGTCAAGAAAGTGACCATCAAGGAAAAGAAATCAGGCAAAGGTAAGTGACCAACGTTGCCAAAGGCAAACCGAGTCCCTTTTGTCTGCTGTGTGAATGTTTCTTTTCAACCTACAGTGGGTTGAACGAACAACTCTGACTAGCAAAACGCTGGAAAAACAGACTTGGCTGAGCTTCAGGGGATCCTTCAAAGGGCTTTGGACAAGAGTTTTCAAGAGTGAGGGCCTCCCACTTGAGGGGTCCCCACAAGCTTCCCCTGATATCACCTTGGACCTAGGATATGTTCACTGGGCTGATTTCTCGCGATGTTGACCTCTCTCTTAACTCGGGTGCAGCTTCGGTTCCGCCCCCGAGTTCTCACCATCAAATATAGAGGTGTTCCAGCACCCAAAGCAATTAATACCTACTGCACCTGGATCTTGAAAGGGGTGCTCAATGGAGATCCAGCAGTGTAGGGTGCTCAGGTCGGGTGTATATCTGGATAAATCCGAGATAGATGTCAGGTGCTGAACAGCCAGTGTGTTTCTTGGCCATAACACTCATCTCTCTCCTTTTAGGCAACTACTTTGCCTTCTGGCCGGACGGCGGCTGCTTGATCACCGGCACCGACTCGCAGCGGGTCATGGCCGAGAGCTACGAGGTGATCTCAGGTCCAGACGGCGGGTCGGCGGCGAGAGCGGGGCAGGGAAGGGTTGGTTTTGGGCGAAAAAGGGAGAGGAACATATATCAAGTTGAAGAGAACCGTACAACATCAAGAATCACATATGTCAATGTCACACATATATATATATAATACAATGTGTATAAATGTATAATATATTATTAGATATGATCAATCTAAGAGGATGATCGTGCAAATAACACTAGAACCATCTAGAATCTAGAGCCTAAGTGACAAGCTGTTTTGAATCTAAAAAGGCAAGGTTCCCAGCTTCGAATTGAAGCCGACCAGAGCGGAGATGCCGACCTTCGTGTTCCTTTTGGGGTGAGCCTCAACCAAGCTCCTTTAATGAGATCATGGGGTAAAGCAAGAATGCCGTGCCATGGTAAAGAAAAACAGAAACTGCCAGAAGTGGTGAGGATTGTTTTCCTAGTTGTTTTCCTCCATTGACGATGCTTGCGATAGCACCTTTTAGGACTGTCGCATTTAGTGGCATGGGATGTACATAAATGGGAATTTGTATCTCCATGTAATTACAGAGTGAGCGAGATGATGATTTTCCTACAGATATGCTTTGAGGTGGTCACAGATGTTAGCGGAGAGTACTTATTTTCATATGGTTCCCAACCGCCCACCAAAGAGGGCGCGCAGAGACTCCCATTCAGGACCTATCCATTGCAACGCCTCTTATCGAACTGCTGCGCCTTCCGTGGAAGCCTGGGCAAGCCAAACGACCCTGCCGAACATCGGAGACTTGCCGAACGAGAGGTCAAGTGGCCTTATAGGACGTGTCACCTGGGGTACCTATGGGATATAGTCTATACATGGGGTTTTTCAACCTCTGTTGGTGGTATGAAGGTGTGAGCCAACCACCCATCAGTGTTAAAAGGCTTTGGGGACTGCGTGCTTAATATGCGATGGAACTTTTAATGAAGTTTGCACCATTTGTGACATTGCTTTGGGGTATTGGTGCCTCAACAGGAAGTGGTGTAACAGAATGGGAATGTTCAATCTTGACTTCTTCCGGGGATTGGTTTTGGTTTCCCTACTACCCTGTATCCCACGGTTATGGCAATGGATGGCATTACCAAACAGGAAGACTTTCTTCCCAAAAATTCCCAGGCCGGTGTTTGTCCATGGTTGGATGGATGGAGGGTAGACGTGAGTCGGTGTGAAAAGACATGCTTCGACTTCTGAAGGTTTGAAGCAGTCAATTGCGTGCATACTGTATGATGGAACAATGGAACACCACCACAGGGTGATGCAGGAACCGCTCATTTGTCCAGGTGATGCAGGAAGGAGGTTTGGTTCCAACAAGAAACCGTTCGCTTGTGGCGGCGTCCTGGAACCTTTCTTCAACATTTGCTTTCAGAAAACCGTGTTTTTCTCCAACATTCCCGCCGGTCCCGCTAGAAACACCCAAACAAACGGTTTAAATGAAGCTGACCAGGACCCCCTTGTAGAGCAAAATTGGTCTTCCATGGGCCTACGCTCCACTTCCATGATTGATTCAGGGAGTGTAAATGTCTTCCAACAAACACACTCCAACACGCTTAATAAGACACATTGGTCTTCTACGTTTCCCTACCCCAAACACACACAACACAGACGAGAACAGATCTCTCTCGAAAGAAGCCAAAAGCAGACTCCCTAAAGCCGACGTGTTTTCCGGCGGCGCTCCGTCCAAGGCCACAGCGAAGTGGCTTCGGTGACCGCCGCGCCAGAGACGATGGCGCACATGGCAGAGATCGAGATCCCCATCTTCGGCTTGGACGTGGGACAACTCGCCGCCAATGCCGCTGGGGTGTTGGAGAGCTGGGGTTTTGCTGAGGGAACGAAGGAACCATGGAGGACCCCAACCATTTAGATATTTGGAGCGAAACAACAAGCACAAAGTGAACCCCTGAAAAGGAACAAAGGAATAGAAAACAACACAACTGACTCCCGGCCCTAGACTCGTTCAATTATGTATTTTGCCGTTTCGTTGATTCTTATCTTGTCATTACTTGTTTTTATGTTTGCTCTGTTGTGTTCTTCTTCCTCCTAATTTTTTGGATTAACCTTCAATGATTCCACATGTGTTCACAAGTACGATTTTCCATGGGTTTTGCAGGCTTGAGGCCAAGTGTCGCACACCACTTCGCAAGGATTGCAATCTTAGTGCTTTTTGGCCTAGGCTTAGGTACAGTATGTTGTCTATAGTAAAGACCTCATGTGGCTGCATGTGATTAAGAGATTTGCATGAAGCATCTTTGGGGAGCCCCGCGAAAACGCACCGTGGGCTTCCGATTCTGATAGAGCTGATTAGAGCTGCAGAGTATAGATAACACAGATCCCAAGTCAAGACATGTCCATACTATATGGATATTGCACTCTACAAAAAATAACGGAGTAACGATCCATTCAGTAGGCTGCGCTGAAAAAAACAGAACTCTGCACCCGTCTGCACCGGCGACGGCGAGACCGATTCCGGAGCCGATGCCGCTGCGCACCGTTCGATGCCTAAGGACCAGCACCTCTTGGAGGGGCGGTCGCTGGGCGACAGGTGAGAGGTAGACGACAGGAGAACCCGTTTTCATGAAAGCGCAGATCATAAAAACGGCTGTTATGAGCAAGAACATGTAGGAACAGATGTAGGTAGGTGACCGGTACATGAGATTTCTGAGCATTTCTGGTTGAATTGTGGTGAAGGGAGTCTCATGTCTCACTGTTTAAGGATGTCTGAAAAGGAGTGTTGGGTTTGATGGATGTTCTTTTGGACTATGAGTGACCAGGACTAGGAGTCAAACTTCGAGCGTCTCCCACTTCTGACAGCCTTAAGACTAAGTTGAGAACCATCCAGATTAGAATTGTGTGTGTGAGGGGTGTCCGTGTTCCTTCGAGACATCCCAAAACATACCAAAACAGAGTCCAAACAGGCAGTCCGAACAGCCCACATTGGCACTGGCTCAATGATGTTTTCATGTCTTTTTCTTCCAACCTGACCTTCGTCCGACGGACCTGACACCCTCCTGATGGACCTTCGTTGTTCTTCCTACAGAAGGGCGGCCTTGCACCTCACCTGGTGCACCGTGCGGCCCCCTCCCCCGAGGTATGCGGAGGCCATCGCGAAGACGCTCGCGCTGCCGGTGTCGGAGATCAAGGAAGGTCACTGGGGCCATCCCAATGGGCGTGGGTCAAAACCAGGTGTGGGACTGGGTGGACCCCGGGCTTGACCTTAGGTTGACCCCTGAAGATGTGCTGATTCCTCTAAGAAATGAGACATGTTCCAACTTCCATGGTTTCGGACCCCGCTTTTTGTATTCGCTTTCTGCGATCCATCGCCTCGACCGATGCTGTGACGTCACGGCCTGGGACTTCGTCCGCGGGACTCGTCGGGCGAGTCCGGGCGACGCGTCGAGGTCCAGATCAAAACGACTTGGACGCACAGGCTGGTCTGTGGGGTGGGCTAAGTCTGTCGCAGTCGTGGGAAGATGGTGATGGTGAAGCAAGCAGGGCAGGGTCGAAGATGAGAAACTGTGCACTCAGACTGTTGGGTGAACATTCCTTCTGGCAATAAGTGATCTTTAGTGACCTCATTCGGTGACCTAAGCGACCTCATTCGATCTCAAAAGGTGCATGGGACATCCAAGTCCTAGAACCCGAAGCTCATTCAGTGCGAGACTTTCCAACCTAGAGCATTTAGTCCGGATGCCTCTCGCCTTCTTCGGTATGGATCCAGCCCTTGGGCGTATCTAGATGTTTATATTTATAAGCATGATATAAGGGAATATTTGATGGATTACAAAATTATATACTATGTGCCCTTGTATGTATAGATATCGATCTACGTATACGGACCTTCAAAGTATTTCAAAGCGACCTCGTTGGCGTCGATAAATTACCTGTTACAGGCCTGAGTGACGAAAAAATCGTGGAATCATGGGATCTCAAGTTCGGTCACTTTGAAGGTCCTGATTCGATGAAGTTCTTTACTCGCCATTGTTCCGCCAAAGAGACCAGAACGATGACCTTCTGATACCTCTTGGGGTCTCATGAAGAATCAGGACATGGGACATGACCGGAGAATGAGGACATTGACTTGACGCCCCAGATGGAGGTTCGAGGCTTTGGACGGATTTATAAAGCACCCTAAGAATCCGGGCCCGAACCAACAGACAGGGTTTGGGAACCGGCCCGTTTTCCCCCTGCGTGAAACCGTGGAGAAGGTCCGACCCCCATGGAGAGCCCGTTCGGATTCTTAAGGCCTGGGGCGGTCGTGACCCATCTGGAGCGAACTGAACCAGTCTACCGGTGAGAACACGACGAACGAACGCATGAAAACACACGGCTCGGGGCGGGACTCATGCCCGGTCGGTCACCTGGTGCCATGAGGATTCGCACAGCCAGTCACAGCCACTAGGGGTGTCGTTCGTCCCATCCAGTGAGTGGATGGGCACCCCTCACCGACTGTAACCTCCATGAAGATCATTAAGCACCCCCACCTGTGACTGCTGGCACCCACAATTCATCATAATTCTATGATCTACTAGAATTGGTGTTTGGGTGAGGCGCTCCGCCTAGACTGCAGGTGCACTTGAGCCCTGGGGTGGGAGGAGGTTGTATCCTCACCGTTGGGCGGACTCAGCTGCTGTCTTTGGCCTCGGGAGTTCTTCTGAGGATTTGGCTCAGGCATGATGGTCATGGCATGATGGTCATGATGTCAAAGCAATATTGGACAAACCCATACAAACCCTCCCTCCTCCAGAACACTGGATTCATACCTGGACCCTCCTTGAAATTCAATTCGACCTTCCCTGTACACTGTGGTACCCGTTCCGAAGCTTCCAACACTCGGGATGGTTGCCAACAGTTAACGGGTATTGATTTTGTCGAAACACTGACACTTAAGTGTTTTGACCCTTTCCGAAATGATCTCTGAAGCCTTGTTTGCCGCGCAGAATATATTGCAGATGATGACCTTTACATGAGCCTTTTGCTATGAACCGAACCACAAGAGACACTTTTGCACCGGAACGCAACCCTCCCCAGACTGATCACTCGATGGATGGACGTGTCCAAATTCTGGGCATCGCACCTGAGAACCTTCTTCAAACCAGCCCAAAAAAGCTCCACACTCAATGCGACATGGCATGTTTGGCAATTTTCTCAGGGTGGTGGACCTGGCAAGCTCCACAGGGTGGCATATTTCTGAGTCCGGGCTACTCAGCTCCCCGCTCCGCACCGGTTTTCGGGCTCCCAAAGCCCGAGGCCTGGACGCCCAACGAGCCTGTGAGCAGTCGGGCGCCCACAGTCGCCAGAAGTCACGCCAAACGAATGCAGAACCAATGATTTTTTTGGATGTTTTTGTTGTCAAGACACATGTGGATATTCTTTTTGTGATCAACTGGTTTGGAGTGAAACCTTCCACGCTGGTCTCTTATGGTCTCTTGATATTTTCTGGGGCGATTTGGATTGGACTTTTTTTGCATTTCTTGCTTTCATTCTTGTCTCATGACCTTGCAGAAAGAATGAGTCGCAGGAAGCGCTAATCAGCTTGATGTGGTGACATCCTCTTCAAAACGTCCCGGAAAAGACCTTTGCTCACCATGCGCAGTTGGCTCGACCTCTTCTGCTTTGGGGGCATGTCGACGGCCCGCCGCGCGGTGCTTCTCCGGGTCGGTCTCCTCGTGGCACTCGTGGGCGCCTTTCTTGGTGCAGCACCCAGCTTCGCTTTTCGCGGCACTTTGGTGGCGGTGGCGCCCAAGATGAACACGATGCTGAACCAGGTGGGCGTGGGTGTTGTTGATCTAACTGTGTTTGGCTGTTGTATACGTATTATACTGTATAAATACCCATAGATCCGCATTGTGATAGTAGATGACTTCTGCGATTCTTTTTGCCGTATGCAGCGTTTGTTTTGCCTGCAGTTTTTTGCGAATGGTTCACTCCCCAGTCTTCCAGACACGCTGCAGCGCACCCGCCCAGCTTTGGCGCAGCTGGGCCCGGACCCCTGCGAAGGTGTCGGGTCCGACCCCTGCCATGCAGGATACAAGGATTCTTGGTCTAGAACATGACAATGAGAGACCTCAGGTTCCTGGCGTTAAGTCAAGTCCGGCACACAGGCAATCCCTCTTCACGACAGTGGATCCACCTGAGATCCTTTGTCGATCACAAGGCATGAATCTTTGACCCAACGGTTGCGCCCCTGAGGCAACCCCAACGTTTCCGAACAGGGCGACCCCTCGGTCGAACCGTTTCCCTTGTAGTCTCGCCTTCCAAATCATGCGTTGGCAAGCGTTGCGACCAAAGTCACAGCCTGCGAGTCCTGTCGCAGGCCGTGCCAGTCGGAGGGGTTGATCCATCCCCACACTGAGTAGCTCAAAGATCTACCTGTCATTGGTTTTGGGGCTAGTAACAAGGGCATGGCTACTAGGAGCAATGGGCATCGCTACTACGAACGGAGCATCTCAAGCGGATCACTTCTTGCAGCACTGGGTCTCCGTCCTTCGGTTCGCCCTACAGGACACGGCCAGCGTCTATTCCAACGAGAAGATCTTCTTTACCCCGCGGCGCGCGAAGGTGCCACGTGACTTTGGAGGGAAGCATCCAGAGGCCATCTTCACGGCACTGGTGGCAGGAATCGCCACCTACTTGATGCCTACTGGAGATGAGTCGAGGGAGATGAGAAGTTGGGTGAATGAGGTAGAAAGAACGGGAAGGGATGGGATGGTAAAAGGTTTGGGAAGGCATTCTCATTTATTCCTCATGGTTTCGCAGGAGTAGCAGTTCTTGTTCTTGAAGGATACTTCCAAGCATGGCAAGTTAGAACCACTGGAAATGCCGAATGGAATGGACGCGCGACCTTTCAATGGTCAACCCCAAAAATATGTGTCGATGGCGAAAGGGTACAAAGTACTATACCCCAAACCTTTCCCGAACCCAATGATTAGCTTCTCACATTCCAACAGCACACCCTCACTGTTTTCAGCCAGTGTTCGATAATCCCTCTAAAGACACTGTCCTTGCTCGAAAGGGGAGGCGAAAAGTAAGAGAGCACACTCAGAAGTCCAGCGTGCCAAACTCTTTTGTACTTGCCCAACCCAGTCTGGGACGCCAAACCCCACACACAGAGCTCCCCAGCGAGGTCCACATTGCAGGGCCTTTTGCAACGACAACTTTGGGTGCCGCCCTTCGGTGCAGTCACGCTGATCTTTGCCGCTGACGCCGTGGCGGCCGCGAAGGCCGCAGCTGAGTTGTTTTTCTTTTCACGGGCGTGGTCTTGTAGGGTCCCGTAGATGCTCGAAGGGGCTCAATTTTTGTAGCTTACCCGCTTTAAGAATCCAGGCCCGAACCAATACATGTAGGGTTCGGGTGCGGACCCGACCTCTATGAGGGAGAAGGTCCGACCCCTGCCATGGAGGGCCCTTGCACGGAATCTTAGGGTGGTCCAGATTCCAGGCCAAAGCAGGTACCTAACGTCACTTCCGACCCCCCATATAGCAAATGGACTTTCTATTCAGATGTTTGCCATGCAAGTTGTTGCTTGTTTGAGGACGGGTTGGATTTGGCCTGACTTTGGTGGCCTGCACTGATGAAGTTCGTTGTGAGCATGGCGTTCTGACTGTCCATGTTGAGAGTCTAAGTTTATAGTTTGCCTACTGTTCAGAGGATTTATCATTCAGTCTGTGAGTCAAACCCCGCTGCGCAGGAAGGAAAGACCATGTGCTTCAAGACCATGTGGCAGAAGGCATGGCAGGCATGCATCGGTGTAGCAGGTGCATGCTTTTTGACCGTGCTTCTAGCACGCCTCCTGGGCCACTTGGCGTTGCACGTCAGTGTCGTTCCAGGTCGCATTTTTGTCCGTTGTGGTCTACGATGGGATTTGAGGTTGGACAGGTTGGTGATTTGATGTGATTTGAGGGGAACGGGTGCCCATGATCCACTCATATGGGTCTTACAAGCACTTCTGTGTTTGGAATTCCTGGGTTCCATGTGCTCCCATTGCATGGATGCTATCCCTTCAATCCCCAAATTCGGCAAGACCTGATCGGTAGCAGAACAGCTCAAGTGAAGTATTTATATTATATAAATGCAGTACATGTAGTACATGTAGTAGTTCCAGGTACTTAACAGACATAGAGGCCCACGCACACCCTAAATCAGATTGGTGTTTTTCAGGCAACACTCCCTCCGTCTTGCGTGCGGTGGCCATGTTCGTGGCCGCCTTGTCGATGTTGGCGAACCCGCAGAGCGGCTACTTCCCCCCCGCCGGCGCCCTGTGTGCCTTGTATGTGGAGAAGAGCGTGAGCATGGGCAAGGCAATGTTGCCTCAGCAACCTGGCGAATGTTGGAGTGACCTAATCTAGCTGGGGGAGGGGAGACATGACGAAACCAGGGCGTCCAGGGCGTCCGGGTTCCATCCTCATGCGTCATCCTTATGAGTTTGGTGTCGGGGTGCTGCCCACAGCTAAACAGTGTCCGGGTGGTCAAGGGTTGATGGCCACCACATTCTAATTAACCATGTTGAGTACATGTTTATGCCATGGTCCGAGCACTTTCGGTGCTTGTTCCATGGTGATTGGCTGGCCAAGCTGGCTGACACAATTTGCCCCCATATGCTCCAATTATTGATATATCAAAATAGACAGCGGAAGACTCCAACATCCTTGGTCAGTTGACAGATGTCTATCCGAGTCTTTAACATCCTGGACAAAACGAGTCTATGTTGATCAGGTACTCATATGCCCTCTTCCCTTGTGCAACTGGTGTGGCTTTGTTGCTGATCTTCTGCCGCACCATCACCTACATGGCCCATCCAGTGTGGCCTTTCTCTTCCAAACAACAACGCGAGAAGGAGCTATTACCACTGCCCTGAGAGCAGAGCCGTGTCACCTTTAAGGGCGCAGGTGTGCCAACGTACACTAGTGCCTTGAGTGTTGTAAGTTATATGCTGACCAGCTGCCCTGTCACAATCCTCAAAACTCAGGAGGGCACCATACTTCTGGCGCTTCTAGTTGGTAAGCATAGCATAGCATGGCTGCATTGACTTGCCGTGATCTCACGAGCTCCACAAGAAACTCTTGCGCCTAGCAATAAGAAGACTTGAAGACTCTCCAACCATCAAAAGTCTCGAAAGATCGTTTGAACAGAAAGATGGAGGATTCTGTCAGGCACCTAGACTCAGCAACTCTTTATGTCACCGAAGATCTTGGTCGGCGCTGGCCCGTGACACCGTACACTGCGACCGTGGGGGTTTCCACCGTTTCAGCTCTAGCTTTTGAGCGGCAGCTTGAGATGGTCCGGAACTCTCAGCACCAAGCCAGCCAGGGACGTGTCGCGCGGAAACCGCGCGGCTTGCTGCGATCAGAGCCTAAAATAGTTTTGCTGGAACATGAGTGGGGTGATTATACTCCAACTCGGAGAGTGTGATGACATGACATGGCCCCTCCAAAAAAATAGCACAGCAATAACATCGAATCACAGCAATGATTCCACACATTTTCCAGACCGATGTTAATACGGAAAAATATTGAAGAATCAACGCTGTTGATCTTCCACTTCCAGATCTTCTTCCAACCCTCTTCTGGGCGGTGGTTTCAGAGATGTTACGTTTCACATGATGTTTCACATGATGTTTCATCCACTGACTCATACGAGTTGAACTCACCTGCCCGGCCGGGCACCGAGGTTCAGACCCCTCGGTGCTGAGGAGCAAGCTGAAGGCGCTCCCAACGGCAGAACCTTCTCGGAACGGCGAAAGGAAGCCATACGAAGAGGGCAGAGGGCGCAGAGGGCAGAGGGGTTGCTATAAGAATTGGTGGTGTTTTCTTTGTTTTGTGCATATGTTGTAATGAATTTGTGTCGTTTTTTGTGTTCGTTTGTGTTTTAAGACGCAACCATTTTTTGCGATAATCTTGTTCTAAGACACGACCATGACACAACCATTTTTCTTTCGTTTTATTCTGAGACGTTTGCCCAACACATTTAGCCTATGTATATAGTACCAAAAACATTCCAAACACATCCAAACACTTGTACGTAGCATGTGAACAGGCTGACCTAGAGCTTCACACACTTCCTCCCCCCCAAAATAATTAAGCACATAAAACCACAATAGAACCACCAGACACCGTCATCGCCTTACCGTCATCGCTTTCGTCATCGCGACCAGACGCCTGCATTGATCACCAACCTGAAGTTGGCGACCACGCAAGCGCAACTGCCGGTGTCAGCTCTACCAGGCCCTGTCGCGATCCAGTCGACGGACGTGTCGGACGTGTCGGATTCGGGATCGAGCTGTTTTCGATCGCGTACAATGCAAATCAAAGATGCAAACGATTTGCTCAGTCTGAGTCAGGTGAAGTGATTTCCGTGATTTAGCTGTTTGTTTTTGAGCTTTTTGATGCTTTTTGTGTCTTCTGGCGAATGATTTTCTGGCTTTCCAGTGGGCTGTATCATGGGTTCGGCCTGTATCCATGCCCCACTTCCGCCCGGGGCCTCCGGTGTGGGCAGGCGCACAAATCCAGGTGGGCGAGCCTCAGGTCGGCACCAAGGAGACGGACAATCAGACGAAGACGGCACCGGGGATGGTCTTTTCCGAGGATTTGATCCATCCAATGGTACTACCGTTCTACATCGTTCTACAGTACCCATCCGTTTGTTGTTCTGAGTTTGGTCAAAATTTCAGACGTTTTGTGGTTTTGATGGAAATAAGACCATGTTCTTTAGCCACTCATGACATGTCCAGGTGAATTTATGACCTAGACTCGGCCACTAGTAAGACCACTAGTAAGGACCTAGTCCGAGAACTCACTACACTACTGTATAGTCCGTTCAGAGCCGTCATGGAGGTGAACGTTGGACGAGGGACATCCTTGTAGAAAAGAAAGGACATCCCTGGGCATCAGGAGTCATGGCTCATGGCTCTGTTAACTGCAACTCTGTGAGAGGGATTGGTTTGAAAACATCTCGCGATTCAGTGACTAGCACTGAATCCAAGCATAAAAGATCATAAAGATCGGTCTACCTACAGGTGTTCAATCTACCTACAGCAGTTCCGGCATGTCGGCAGAGCATCCTGCATGCTCCTGGGCAAACCGCCCCAGGAGCATCCTTTGCAAGCCTTAGTGGAACCGCCCAGCTTTTGGTCTCAGTGGTGGCCGCTTTTGATTGCTCTGACCTTCGTCCCTGGGTTTTTCAGGGCGGCACCGGCGGACCGGGACCGGGGCTGTGGGGTACCAGGAGAAGTTTCTTTTTGAATGTTTCATGGCCGGCCGTTTGGGAATGTTCAATCCCAAGATTTACAGCACTAAACTGTACCAATTATAATAGAAATATAATCAATTATACCTGTAATCACTTGGATCTTCCAACTCTGCAACATGCCTGCCTTTTGGCTGGTTTTATCGATGAACAGGCAGACATGTTGCATTAGTTGGAAGATCTAGGTTTATACCAACTGATTCTTTCGAGTCTGGACTAGGGGGATCATTTTCAGCTAGAGGACACCCCTGATCGCACAACGAACAGATGCAGCAAAATGATGCAGTTCTGCAGATGCGTTTCAACTGACCGTGGTTTTGAGGTTGGGACATGTTCCCCTTGGTTGAAACCACCAAGGAGGGAAGACACGTCTCTTTTCATCGTCTTTCGACCCGTGGGACGCGCGCGCGCTTGATGAGAGTGGAGAAGAGGAGTCCGTGAGCACGGGAGATTGAGTTTTCTGGTGGCTTCTTTCTGGTTTTCCAAAAAGACAAGGACACCACCTGGAAGCTACTAGTAACAAGCGCATCGCTACTAGGAACAAGGGCATTACTACTAGTAGCAAGACTGCTACTAGTAGCAAAGGGCATGAGTAGTAGCAAAGGTTAGTAGTAGGAACAAGAAGCTACTAGTAACAAGGGCATCGCGACTCGAACGGAGCGATCGGACACGACGAACGGGAGGGGACGAACGGCATTTGCTGATCCGAAGAATGTGGAAGTCATCAGTTTCAGGCTTACCCCGAAGTGCTAAGGCGCAAACCAAGCACCTTGAAATGCGAGCGACATACGTGCGTCACCTTGAAGCAATGTCCAGTGGACCACCCCCCCTTTTCATCGCGCGCCATGGACGCCATGAGCGGAGACCAAGCCTGGGGGCCGCTGGGAGCCCCTTCTGTTTCTTCCCCATTCAGGAACTCGCAGAGGGGGGGCCGCTTCGCCTTTCTCATTCACCTCCCAGGCTGTGTGCATTGGAGGCAAGCGATACTCTGCTTTTCCCCTTCGGGGCGCACATTTGGGGGTCTGGAAAAGCAGTGTGGTTTAGAAGGACGGACGTTTCATACAAAATCACACCTCTGGGTTTGTGAGTGAAAGTTAAAATTCACATCACGGGGTGTGTGAAGAGCTAAAATTCCAATCACTGGGTCTCAAGCAGTTTCCTTCAAGTCTTTTTGCTGATTGTTGGGCAGTGTGCCAGCGGATTGGATACCATCGGTTCAGACTCTGGTTGTTGGAAGATCATGTTTGGAACGGTCATGGGTGCGCACCATGTGTATTGACCAGTGGTTTGATGTGGTTGTTGGGTCTGGATTGAGAACAGTTGTCGTTGGCATCGATCATGTTGGTCAGCGTCACATGGGGATATCGAATAAGACAACCGTGTTTTACCAACTCGTGTGAAGTGACAGTTGTTGGGGCCCCGTCACTGACCCTGTCTAGGGGTGACTCGCCCCGAGTATCAATTGAATCAAGGGTGGAGCAGTGTGGAAGATGAATGATTGGAACGAATGGCTCACTTCGGGACTGTGACATGGATCAAAAGTAGAGTATTCTGTTCATGTACAAGGTTTTCACAACTGGACGTGTTTAAAAATGACTCAAACTGATGACCCTGTCAGGTTTCCTCTTTGTCCACTACTTCGCGAACCAATTGTCCGATGATGATGAGAAGCGTGGCAAGCGCTCAAGTGGCCCAGCAAGCGGTTATTAGGTCAAGGTAGAGAAGCGGACGAGTTTTTCATGTGCGGCCTTTGTTCTTTTCGTTCGTGATCAACAAGACAAAGTTATAAACCCTTGACTGCCCGACCCTTCATTGTGCCGAAGGCGGCAAGAGCCTGAATTCTTGGACACGGACTTATATAACTTCTTGGACACAGACTTAACTGTCCAACATGTTTGGTTTAAGTCAAAACATTCATTGTCATGTAGTGCTAGTGGGTAGACATAAAGCAACATGTAGCAAGAACCTAAGTAGAAGGAGGTGACTCTCTCAGACTCTCTCACAACTTCGTACCAAATCAGCGATTTAGACGGCGTCCGGTTTGCCATCTCAGGTTCCAGCTCATTGCCAAATCGATCCATTCGCCTGGGGCCTCGGACAGAAAGCGAACCGTGCGTCGATGACCGTTTCGTCTCGACGTCTTTCGTCTCCTGTGGACATCTTCATCCATCGCTTTCGTGCCATGACATCGATGAGCTTCCATGATCCATTGATGTCATGGCAATCGTGATGGATGAAGTAACACTGGCGTTGGTCGCGCGGGGTAGCAAGCTTCTACGGCGAAGGGGACCACCCTTTGATCCCTCGTACTATCATCTAGATTACACTTGATTTAAAGGACGTGCTTCGTCATGACGGGGTTGATTCTGTGTTCAATCTGCTCACCCATGTCATCACCCAGATTTCGTCGCTCCCCGGTGGTTTCGTTTTCACCTGGACGAACACTCGGCGCCACCGGGGGCAGCCTTCGCTCCACCGCGGAGCGCGCTCGGCCGAGCGGAGAGGAGAGCGGAGGGAGCGGTCACCCAGGCCTCCGTGCACAAGGGCGTGGTGTCGAGGACGTGGAGCTGCCACTCAAAGAGGGCTTTGAGAAGCCTGGAGAAAGTGAAAGAAGATGGGGAGAGAAAGAAGGGATATCACTAGTATTCACTAGTGATATATCACTAAAATGATTAATATCTGGGCTGTTCATAACCAATCCTAATCCCCTTCCTTCTTACGGATTAGGTATGTACAGATTGGATGG